TTGTTTTTAATTTAGAAGACATGGAAAGGATTGTTAGAGCCTGATTTTTTGCCTGATTTTTGCCACAAAGTGCTGCTTTTACAATATATTCTTTTGGGGAAAATGTGAAAATGACTCACTCAAAAAGGTCTTCATTAAAGTGCACAATTTAGAAAAAAGACATATTGGGCTGAGGTTCAGCGTTATCTAAAACATACAAAAAGTTGAAAACAATACTTTTCAGAAATGTTATTATAAACTACAGTGTTGTCACATGAAGGCATTTTAAATTGAATCTGCTTCCATTCTAATTCCAGCCTTTTTTCCCCCTTGCCCCTTTCTAGGCTCTTATTTACATTCTCCCATGTGGCAGTAAACCATCAGCATGTAGTTAGCGTCCTTTGCAGCCCATATTCTCTTTGATACATTGCAGATGGAAATGAGGGAGAAATGGCTTCAGTTCACTCCATGCATGTTAATGGACTTTGGTCTCCACCTTATGCTTAAGACTGTCATGGGGAATTAGAGGAGTTATATCTTGAGTTATATGCGAGCAGTTTGGGTGAAAAGTCGGTTCGGTTTCTTCTGGGACAAATCCTGCCTCCTTTGTAAGTGCATTGATATCACCGTGCGGAGGCTACATTTGTCACTTTAGATTTGAAATGGAAACCAACCAAGTCCAAGTGTGTAAATTCTGCTAATACAAGAAATCACAACAGCAAACAGGAGCTATGCAGCTCAATCGTTTTGTGCATTGGTGTGAATGGCAAGTGCATTTTCCATTTATTTCTCCCATAGACTTTGTTAAGATAAAGAGGTTGCTTCACACATCGTATTTCTGAAATCATGTGTGTTGGAGAGAGTGTGCCTAATGCTCATCAAAATCAAAAACAGAAAGAGTCACGCGCCCTGTCTAACTTGCAAAAAGTGAGTTTTATTTACAGTATAGCAACTTTTTGGCAACCAGGCAAATGATTTGGCTGTGAAGTCATTTTAAATAGGTGTGGTTGGAGTGACGCCCATTGGGAATGAAGCACTCAGAATGAAGGGTAAAAAAAAACTAAACAAAAAAAACCACACACATACAATAAACAAGTGGCATATATAGCTGTACAAGATAGCGATAGTTCCAAATGCCCACGAGTATATTCATAACATTATATGTACCTGGAACATGTAAATGGATGTAAATAAAAACGCTTAGGTCTATAAAAAAGACTGTTCAATTGAATTAATCCTTTAGCCCCTTTAGGTGCAAGTATCTGGAGTGTCCTACTTAAAGGTGCACTATGTAACTTTTCTGTTGGAGAAACATCTTTTTGCCTTATGACGATGTTACTGCTTTGCCTGACATGTTACACAGTATGACAGGAAACTGATCTGTCTTGCATTTATTCAATTAGAGATGTTTTAAAGCAAAAAAAAAAAAAAAAAGCCTTCATCAAAGAGTATGGTGAGCCGAGTCAGCTACTGGTCTCCATGGAGATAGGTGCATTTAATGCTGTATCGGTGAACATTCTATAGCAATAGCATCTACATGGAGACAAGCAGGTGACTCTCAACCAGAAAAGTTACAAATTTCAGTATTACAGGTGCTTTAAATTTTAATTAAAGGTACTTTTCTGGTGGAGGATTTGCTACCTACTCGTTTCCATGGAGATGTTCCATGGTATTTGGACTTTAAAAACATCTATATAGCATTTATTTGTTACAGGTGTTTCTATTGCTCAAACATACAATAATTTCTTCTGTGAATAGGGGTGACTCACCACAGATCTGTACTGTAATGTAGCGTAGTGATGAAACCTGCTCGTCTCCCTGGTGATAGATAAATTTAATCTATACTGTGGAACATTCTCGACAAAGTTACTAAACCCACTTGCATTTGTTGACTGCTACTTCAGAACTTCTTACAGACATTTCACATTTTCAAGAACCAAACTTTTCAGCCCGACCTCCTATAGTGCTTGCCCTTGTTCCTACAGACACTTAACAATGTCCCACTTTTGCAACTGCAGCTAGCCCCTGGATTAGCCCCGAACAGCTGGTGGAGAGGGAATCAGCGCACATTCTTGTCAGAAAATGCTTTTAGTCCATGCTGTGCTAGCCACCACACCGCCAGCCCACCGCCACACGATAACTCCGCGCTAATCCGCATTTATTTTGGGCTCTCGGACCTCTAGTCCATCACCGTTGTTATCCCTGAGAGCCGAATGGGTTTTGGCATTCACCTGGCATTCCCAACCACTCATTTTGGCCTAATTTTCCGTTGCTAATTCTGTGCCTATCTTAATTAGAGACACATCAAATTCTTCAGGGAGGCGAGCTGAGTCTCTTCTCTCACGCGAACGCTCATTAAAAACTCAAAATGTTTTAAAATGGTTGAGTAAATTTGTGAATATTAATCATGAAGGACTCTAAATACAGACAAAGAGGATTACTGTAATTCCGTGAAGTTGACAGTTGCAGGCGGTTGCGTCATCGTTGTGTTAAAATGTCACTTCAATCCTGGTTTGGTGGATTACAGTTGGAGACGGAGTGAATGCTGGCAAAAATATAAAAAATACACACGCAAACTGTCACAAGGAGGTCGCGTAAGCAGGATTTAACAAGAAGTTTGTTTTTGAAGAATATGCATTTTGTTGAAAACATTCTGTAGTTCTGAAGTATTCTGTAGTTTTCTGTAGTTCAGGTACTGCAGATGGAAACTAGCTATCTATCTATAGCGTGTTTTTTATTTTTTTATCTTAATGTTTCTGCACATTATCCTTTCAAATAAAGACTAAGGCTATGTTCAGACTGCAGCCTGAAGTGACCCAAATCCAATTTTTTTCAAATGCAACCCAGACCACTTGGATATGTGCTCCTGAAACTGATACATTTCCGATGCTTTTGACACGCGACTTCAGTCTGAATGGTCAAGTCACATTCCTATACATCATCAACAAACCAAAGACGTTTTTTCTCCCGTGAGAGTGGTACAAGTAGGCGCTCACAAATGTACACAAACGTTCTTCACGTCATATGAAAATTGTGTATGAACTCCGTGTGAGTGAAGCACCTAGCAATCCCACCACTCTTGGCTGCGACTCCACCTGCGACACCCACATGTTCCTTTCTACGGACGTTGCTGCCACTGCCCCACAAAACATCATGGCCAAAAACCTTGTCCTTCTCCTTCTCAATCTCCTCCTTAAAACAGATAAGTTCATGTTCTGGTTCCGGTACGAGAGGAACTTTAAAAAGGTGCTCAATGCTCGCGTCCATGTTTGGACAACTTCTGTAAACACTGAGCACACTCGCTGCGGTTGACGTCGTCGTGCCCTCCAATGCACATGCGGGACACTTTTGGGGTGTTTAAAGTTCACACTGGAGATCACATACCAGTCACATTTAATTGGAAATGTGAACGACCTCACAAAAAGAATCGGATTTCACAAAAAAATTTGAATTGAGCATTAATCCCTGCAGTCTGAACGTAGACAAAGATAACTAGTTTTTCCTAAAGCTAGATTCTAGAGTGAATAAATAAAATAAAATATAAATCAGTAAAAAGTAAAGAATAAATAAATACATGTGTAGCTTTTGGTATTTCGTCCTTGTGAACGTTGCATTAGCATATTGTATTTTTACTTCTCTGCCAGGGAATCTGCCAAAAGGTCAGACAGGGATTCTTCTCTATTTTCACAACATCTATTTGCCCTGAAAATCCATCTCTAAAAAAAACAAACAAACCAAAAAAAAAACAACCTTTCATTAACTGTCCTTGTTTTCTTGTTGGTCTTTGTTGGTCTATTGGTCTATTATTATTCATGCTTATGTCACAAACCAGGCAGACGTTTGCAAACATACATGCTCGGTTTGTAGGTCGGTAGTAAGTCTGACCAAATCTAGGAGAAAAATATCCCAGTTTTCTTCATCTAAATGTCATTGTAGCATTCTGTTATGTTCGGGTAATCAACAATTACAATCGTACCTCAGTTTTCATCATTTCCCCACTGACCCACAGCTCAGAGCGCAAAGAAACGAGGGTGATAAATTCAAGATGATTCCAAACAGCACAAATGTATGCAGTCTTCATTTTACATTTACTTCAGTGGGTTTTATCACAATCTGTCGGCAAGCCCAGTGTTGGTATTTACTAGTGGTGTAATGATATCCAAGTCTCACGATACGATATCATCACGTCATGAACCTCACGGTACGATATTTATTGCAATGTCGTGGGAAAGCTCACGATATGGTGGGGAGGCTCACGATTAGGGATTTAAAAATATCCAAATCTCACAGTACGATATTTATTGAGATATTTTGTAGAGGCTGACAAAACTGTTAATATGCATCTCTTAAAATGCCTTGACAAGATTTAATCCAAAGAACTAAGACTTAAAAGTGCTTAGAACTGTTATTTCTTCTTGTAGTCTGCACTGAAATTGAGCAAAGGATCATGGTCTATGCAGTTCCCTCTGTCTTTTTTTTTTAGCTGTTGCTGCACTATAACTCTTCATTTAAGCAAAGAGACTTGTAATTCGATATATTGTGATGGTCCACGATATTATTGTGAGAACTTTGACGATACAATATCACGATATGTGGGTTATTGTTACATCCCTAGTAATTACACCAGAAGATTTTACTGCATGTTTCAAAACATCTTCCTGGTTTGTTGCGTAACATGAATAGAGCCTATTGAGGAAGTAATGCTGATAGGCAATTAAAATGATACTAAACACAATAACGGCAAGCTTCCTTTCAGTTCACTGGTGGGCTTTGTTGAATTGATTTAAAAAGGCAAACAGCAGATACTTGAATGAATGTTATGAACCAAACGTTAGATCCCACAGCCCATTATTCCATTTTCCATAGATTTTTCCATGTGTTGAATGTAAGCACAGACCTATTTAACTTCTGTAGCTCTGAAGAGTGTGGAGATCATTTGTGCAAGTATTTCCAATGTGTGAAACGTGTTTTGTTAGACGATAATGAAGAATTCTGTCACTTTTTTTCCTCTCTCCAAACAGATCCCGTCACAGGTAGGTTTTCTCTACACTGAATGATTCTTCTCATGGTTATGCATCATCCATATAATTGCTTCAACGTTTATAATGTTGATGAATTATTGTTGTTATGGTAACACTTTATAATAACTACAGTTTACTTAGCTTCAATAAAGCATGAAGGTGTAGGTGTAGTTATTATAAGTTACATGTTACCAAAATTATGTACAGTTTATTTTTGAAAGTTATGCCATGCATGTGTGTATTTACAGTTAGGACTTGGTTTTCTTTTCTTGCCCGTACCATATTTAAAGCACCACATAACTTTTTGTTTAGTTTGTTGTATGTTGTATGTTGTTTTTGTGTTTGTTTCTTTTTTTCACTTTGAAAATGATTGCTCTGAAAAACATGTAAAAACTTTCATTCATTGTGAGTGGGCTTGCATTTCCACGATAGAATGTATAAAGAAGTGGAGTAAGTGAGTGTGACGTCACCCCTAGCTTTTGACTGCAGTTAAATGAAGCTCACCGAGGGCGGAAGTAATGGGGCAAATTTGGAGCCAAGTTCCATATTAGGAATAGGAGTTGATTGAGCCGAAAGACAAAGCTCTTGATTTATCAGTCAATCTACTTTCCTACCCTCACCTATGGTCATGAGCTCTGTAGTCGAAAAGTAGTCGAAATGAGTTTCCTTTGCAGAGTGGCTGGGTGCTCCCTTAGAGATCAGGTGAGCAGCTCAGTCACACGGAAGGAGCTTGGAGTAGAGCTGCTGCTCCTTCTGGATGCCTCCCTGGAGAAGTGTTCCGGGCATGTCCCACTGGAAGGAGGCCCCGGGGAAGACCCAGGACACACTGGAGGGATGTCTCTTGGCTGACCTGGGAATGCCTTGGGATCCCCCCGGAAGAGCTATAGAGGAAGTGTGTGTGGAGAGGGAAATCTGGACGTCCTTACTCAGACTGCTGCCCCAGTGACCCGGCCCCAGATAAAGTGGAATAAAATGGATGGATGAATTGATTTACAGCCAAAATAGTGAAATAGAAACACCAGGATCATTTACGGTGGGTTACACAAACATTTTAAGACCAAAATAAGGAACCTGACAGCAGCAGTTACAGAGAGGGGTGATATTGTTACAAAGTGAATTGGAGCAGGAGTTAATGGAGCCGGAAGTGCGCCCATGCTCACTTCCTAAATGGAACAGCAGCTATGTCCATTTATATATGCAGTCCACGATTTTTCCACAAACCTGAATCATATGTGGCCTGAACCAACACATCCTTGTGCTTGTTTCCATGAAAATGTTGTTTCGTTTGGCTATAATATTCCACAAACTGGCATAAAATGTATTTCTATTTCCCTGGCGAAAGTTACACAGTATAATTTTAACCTGCCACGGACTAAACCTGGACTAAACCTGGACTATGATCCTAGTGGTGTTAAAAAGTAGCATTTGCGCAATAACACTTAAAATTGGCCTAATCCAATATTATTGCTATGTCCATATTAAATAAATGCATGAATAAATACAATAAATAAAAGAGCATTACATTCCTATAGGGCAGCCACATTACAAACGTCAAACTGCCTCATCACCGCTCTTTAATGTCCAGCAGAGGTCACCGTTGTTGACAGCATTATTAATTATAGTTCCTTTGAAAGCTCCTGCATTGGTATAAACCCTCCTTTAGCTTTGCCCTTGCCCTTCCGGTAAAACGGTCCCAAGTCGGGGTCCATATAAGCTCTGAGAGGGGATTCGGACAGCCCTTCGATGTGTCCCCTCCGATCAATTTTTCATAGAAGCAGGTGACGCCATCTTGCTGTGAGCTGTGGGTGCCAGGTAGAGTCATCGATTTCCTCTCAACAGACACTGGACCAGAAGAGAACCAGAGCAGAGGGCTAGATCACCACACCGCCACACTGCTGAGAACAACACTTGTAAACAACATGGATGAATCGGTTCACAAGGACAGCAAGGATTTTTATTTTTTTTTGGTATAGAAAGTGCTATTTTAAAGTGCCTGTCCCTGGTTTTAAAGTGCTCATATTACACTATTTTCTGATCTATGTTATAATGTAAACAACACAACATACATACATAACACAATGCATATATTGCTACATTCTCTTTACTAGGGGAGAAGGGAAGCCACAATAAAAACCAAGATGTTTATTATTTTACAGTGTAGGAAAGAAAAAATAAATAAAGAAATGTAATGGTGAAATAAAGGGATTTAACCAAAAAGCAATTTCCAAACTATAAACCCTTTAACTAACCTTGCTTTTGATTATCCTTCCAAAACGGTTTTCCGAGGAAGTTGCCTAGTGCCACGCATAACACACCCCTTTTTCTTGGACGGAGTGACTCGGATCTCTGTGGCGGAAAAAGTAGACCGAGCAAGGATTTTGAGTCAGAAGCCAAGATGGCTGCGCCCACTGTGACGTGTAAACCTGAACTGTTTCCATTGTATTTAGACATTTTGGTGGTTTAAATGACAATTTCAGTTACTTGTATCACTGCCTGTGGGTTTGGTAGTAGGTGATGTGGTGAGGCTACACGCTACTCCAAGTCCGACACGTGAAACATAATATTATGCTTCAAGCTCAGACGTGATACCAAATCCGAGGTCCAAGTGGGAGTCGGAAGATAAGTGAACACAGGGTAAGTACAACAACAACAAAAAACCAAAGTGTCTAAATCGAACATCAAATAACAAAAGGCACCAGCCGACATAATCAACGAAAAATGAAACACAACAGAATGAAACAATCAAATAGAAATGGCGAGCTGTAACAGACGGAAGAGGGTCCCTTTTGTAGTCCGTGTCCCCACAGTTGGCCTCCGTGGATTGGTGGGGACGGAAGGGTGCCTGGCCAATCCAGTGAGCGATCAGATGCCCAGCCTTCACCAGGTGGTCTGAGCTCCCGCGAGACCAAATTGCACACACACACAAAAACAAAAGAAGCAATGGGAGTACGGATTATCAAATACCAAAAGGGCCAAGGCCTGTAACAGTATACACAAACATACCTGGAGTTGTGTTTTGTTTCGTTAACACATGTTTAACACACAAATCCTGCATATTTAGGCTGAGTTCTCTCAAACAGAACACACTGTCTGCCCCCTTGTGATGTCATGGGGTAATACAGGAAGTGCTCTACTGTGTTTTCATAATCCATACATTTTCACTAGAATCATTTGGATTATTTCAGCCATGAAATCACCAATCTCTACCAAACCAAAAGGTAGAAGAGAGCATTTGGAGCTTTGGAGATGCAGAAGCACTTTTTAAGCAGTCTAGACAGTCATGGGGTGAACATTTAAAAAAAAAGTACTGTAGGAGTTAATATTAGTTGCTCGCTTTTGCTTGAGCCCTGAATAATGAAGGTACAGTGTCTGACAGGCCTATTCATTTGTAAAGAGCACAGTGAAAGCCATTATAAAGACATAAGGCCCAGCTATTGTTTTCAAAAGAACACCCTGATCACTGCCTTTTAGACTTGGCTAAGTCAGGTTGTAAATGTAATGAGCAGTAGGAATGACTTGACAAAAGATGCACTGCCAGGTGGAGGAAAATGAAGTGAGATTTAGTATGTTTTACAGATCTTATAGTGCCAAAATTTGTACCTCATCAAAAACCTACCCGAAGTTGTGGTTTGTTTCATTCGCATGTTTGAGTAATCTTGGTTTATTAGTCTGTCTACATCTCCAAAGCTCAAAATGGTCTGTTCCACGTTGTGATGTCATGAAGTGGTAGTTTCTAAGTTATATATGTGTCCTTTATTTAACCAGGAGGTCCTATTGAGATTCAGAATAATTTTCAAGAGAGATCTGGCGAAAGGAAGCAGCTGACACGATCAATACAAAACAGTAAAATCACAGAGTATCGCATTATAAAACTATTGTCATCTCAAGAAAAACATACACATGTCTTGGTCACTGCACTAAGGCAAGGCAAGTTTATTTGTATAGCACAATTCGTACACAAAGTAATTCAAAGTGCTTTACAGAATAAGAAATACATTAAAATCATAATAAAAACAAATCAAAACATAAATAATCATGAAGATTAAAATTAAAAAAGAGAGACATAAATTGGAGAGAAGAGTGCGGAATGAAAACCTTTCAGTTATATGCACAGTTAAACAGAAATGTTTTGAGCCTGGATTTAAACAGCGTCACAGAAGAGTCTGTCTCACATGTTCAGGAAGACTGTTCCAGGTTTTAGCTGCATGAACCTGAAACGCTGACTCCCCTTGTTTAGTCGTGACTCTGGGCACCAGCAGGAGGCCGGTCCCTGAGGTCCTCAGAGTGCGAGATGGTTCATATGACACTAACATGTCACAGATGTACTTTGGTGCTCGGCCATGGAGAGACTTGTACACAAGCAGAGCTGCTTTAAAGTCTATTCTCTGAGGCACAGGAAGCCAGTGCAGAGACCTGAGCACAGGACTTATGTGCTCGTACTTCCTAGTTCGAGTAAGGACCCGAGCTGCAGCGTTCTGGATGTTCTGCAGCGTCTCACAGCTCGTTTGGAGAGACCAGTGAGCAGACCATTACAGTAGTCTAACCTACTGGAGACAAACGCATGGATAAGTTTCTCCAAGTCTGATTTAGACAGTAAACCTTTGATTTTTGCTATGTTTTTTAGATGGTTAAAAGGCTGCAGATGTTATTGATTTGATGTGGCTGTTAAAGTTCAAGTCTGAGTCCATTATTACCCCTAGATTTCTTGCCTGATTTGAAGGTTTTAGAGAGAGAGACTGGAGGTGACTGCTGACACTGTCCCTTTGTTTCTGTGGACCAAACACTATGACTTCAGTCTTGTCACTAACATTTAACATTTTCTTGAACTTAGCAAGTGATGCCATAGATTCCAATGTAAGACTTTTCTGTAAATGTTTCCAAGGCCATGGTGCTGCGTAAGTAAAGTTAAACGCTACCTTATTCTAGTGAAGCACTTGTTTTGTTATCACATGACATCACAAGGTGGAACAGAGTGTTTTCAGTTTGAGAGAGAAACGCAGCCTAAATATGCAGAGTTTGTGTGTTAAACATGTGTGGATAAAAACAAAAAAACAAAAAAAAACTCCACGTATGTTTGTGATGTGGAAACATTATAATAGCGAGATAGTGTAATATAGGCCCTTTAAAAATAATTTATTCGAATAGACACATAAAAATGCAAATTATGATATTAAAACACACAACAACTACAACACACAACAACACACAACAACAACAACACAAAAACCATAACACACAATAACCACAACACACAACAAGAACAACAACACACAACAACAAACAACAACAACAACACAACACAGAAGAACAACCACAACTATAACACACAACAACCACAAAACACAACAACAACAAACAACAACACATAACAACTAGAAAAGCACTCAGAGAGCGCAGACCTCCGCCAAGGACTACCCCCATTTTTTATATAAATTGCAATAAAATCAGTCTTCTGGATCAGATCCGGATCAGCCTTTGGAATATGAAAGAGGATCCCATTGTCCATCCCTGAGTCAAATTTCATGGGGTTTGGTCAATAATTAACCGAGATATTGAGAAACAAAATTTTTGGCCCCATTTACCACAATGTTAACTAAAATTTCAAAGTGATCCAGGATCCAGGATTTCTTCCGGATCACCCCCAAAATGAAATCAGTTCTTCCTTTTCACATTTCCAACAAATCCTGAAAATTTCATCAAAATCGGTCCATAACTTTTTGAGTTATGTTGCTAACAGACAAACAAACAAACAAACAAAAACAACAAACGCTGGCAAAAACATAACCTCCTTGGCGGAGGTAATAACAACACTCAACAACAACAACATACAACAACTACAACATACAACCCCACACATAATAACAACAACACACAACAACTACAACACGCAACAGGAACAACACACAACCACAAAAGCAACAACATAAAATGGTTAAAATAGTCAAAATGCATTATGTCTTAGTAGAGTCTGTTGGGTAAAACATCACTTTTACAAACTTTGTCAAGGTTTCACCAACTGCTTGTCTTCATGAACATGTGATTGCCTGGAGGGTTCAGTATGGCATAACCTATCTCCATGGAGACAAGACGTGATGCCACCAGGTCATGATACAGGTCAGATCTGTGGCGATGCAAGCCCACTCACAATCAGTTTTTCAAGGTATTTGTTTTAGCACAAAAAAAACAACAACATGTACCTGAATAAATGCAGGATAGATATGTTTAATGCCATACTGCTGAACATTCCAGAGAAGATAATAACATCTCCATGGAGACAAGCTGACATTTGCATAGTGCACCTTTAACTTTTTTTTTTTTTTTTTTTTTGCTATGAGCCCCACAGTAGATTAATTAAAGCAAAATGGAAATTTAATGATCCTGCAAAAAGCTCAAAACTTCTAATACTGTAATTTCCAATTCTAAACCCAAACTCTGACCTATTCCTGTCAAAACTGCACTTAGATATTAGCTTGTCCCTGCAGGGCTTCCGTAGGTGTGCACCAGAACCATTTAGACATCCAATCCGACCTGCCATTCTGTGACAAGCGAACGCCAAGGGGCTACACATCGCACCTTTAAAACTTATATAATCCAAGTTAGCTAGACTTTTGCACCTTTGCCTTGTCACTTACTTATTTAATAAAAGTAGAACATTTGCATTAAAGTGTATAAGACAGGTCAGACTACACAACTTGCTAAAGATTTTACCTAGGCTTTTCTTAATTTGAGCATTTCGGTAAAGTTTATAAGCATATAACTGTTTCCTACAGCAACCATAATCTTAACAAAGGCCAGAGGTGGTTAAATTAGCCAAAACGACCCTCAAGTAAGACGTTTCTTCACAACAATATTACTCAAATATTACACAAAGTAGTGGTCCATGAAATTACTCAAGTAAAAAAGTATCTGAGAAAACTACTACTAGTAAGAATAACTGTCTGGGTGTAACATCTGATAACCTTTATAATTTGAAGTCATTGTAAGATGAAGGACAAAACTTTAAATCATTTCATATTGTCAACATAAATTTTGTATCACTTGTAGACTTAATCACAGTGGGAAGAGGAACTAAAACTTTTACTCAGGAGTAGAGATGGGCATGATTAGTTGAGTAATCGATAATTGATCATTAAGAATTTCAGACTGAATGTAGGTAGCTGTGCGTAGCATAAGGAGATGAGGCTGCGTCTGACAGAGCAAACACTGGAGTCTTGGCCTCACAGTCCCACGTTTTGGCTCTGGCACCTCCTTGGAGACACTGCACCAGTCAGTGAGTGTGTTTACATGCACATCACTGTTCCAGGTATGATTGGGTTTTTTGAGTATCCCAGTTTCATCACGGTGCGCAGTATATGCAGTATCCCAACATAAAGTTGAGTTGTATGCGTCCAAAAGACAAACACTTTTCAGTCTTTTCATCACAACAGTAGTCAAAATAAAGTGACTAACATAAATAAAGTGAGTGAAATGACTGTTAAATAAAGAGCTGAGCTAAACCTGCACACGTATGAACCATCTACGACACACACACACAGCACCGACTCATTATCATCATCATTAACATCCCTCTGTCCCAGAAAGAACACTCATATTCCTCTGAGTCGTGTCCTTTAGTCCACATCAGCGCACAAGCAAAGAGCTGTTTTTTTTTTTTCAGCGCTTATAGTTTACACAAATGAGCCATGTGGTTTTAAGTTTCTTTTCTGTAAAACATAAACAAATGTGACAAAGCTGCATTAAACACATTATAATCTCAAATGGGCTGATGTGACTCTATAGTTGTTATGGTTTATATGTTGTAAAGTTGAGTTTATTTATGCAGATTAGTATTAATAATAAAATGATTATAATTTGAATATAAAAATGTTAATGATTAATCGAAAATGTATCGTTAATCCTCTCAACGATCAATTAAGACATTTAATCGAATGCCCATCCCTACTCAAGAGTACTGTTACTTCAATAAAAATATCACTCAAGTAGGTATAAAAGTATGCTGTAAGAAAAGTACTCTGAAAAGTACAATTTCTTTAAAAAGTTACTCAAGTAAATGTAACAGAGTACAACCCACCTCAACCTACCACCTTTCTAAATGACTAAGATTTTAATACTAAAGAAGAAAGACTCGATTTTGCAAATTTTAAAGCTTTTTTAGTCAATTTTGTAATTTTTAACACAAATGTACTAGGTCAGTTAAAACTCAAGACCAAAACTGTTCACGAAAGGTCAAATTCTTTCCCGTTTTCATTTATTTCAGTATCAATACTTGCTAGAAGTAGATCTAATTTCAGTACCTTTAAGTACTTTCAATACATTTGACAGCCCTACTTCCTCGTCACCTAAACTGCTCAGTCCTTAAAAAATCTATCTAATCTATAGCCGTACTTTTCCACATGGATTCCTTACACTACACAATTGTTAGCCTTAGCTTGTCTGACGCAACTGAATTATTTATTTTCTTTGGGTCTGGCGCCTCATCCCTCCGCCGCCGTTTATTATTGTGTGTTTACCCGACTAATAATCACAGCACGCCAGGAATTAATGATATTTTTCTTGGCTCGGCGAGGGCTGCTTTCTAATTGACGCTTTTGTTGACGTCCGTTGCCGTGACGTTGGAATGCTGGATGGTTATTGGGATTGTATGGCGCGGCAGTGAAGCACGCCGTGAAGAATTATTGTCACATTTGGCATAAGAATCGCACACATGCTGTTTCTGTTTGGGTATGTGTCTTGCGCATTGTAATGTGTCAGTTTACAGCATTTACAGCAAAACCACTTTTATTTATTGTTTTGGCCATATGTGATTTTGTAATAGAAATGTGTGCACAGTTTTGTTATGATTTGGAATGTATTGCGTTTCAGTTTATGTGCATGTTGAGGCAATGTCAATCATGATTTTTCGGTTTTATGAAACTGACTTTGCCGTTATGTTACTGAAGTGTACTGTGTGTTCTGTTCGTAGGATTTCGGAGATGACGGCTCGCTGTACATAACCAAGGTGACCACCAGCCACATGGGGAACTACACGTGTCATGCGGATGGGTTTGACCGGCTCTACCAGATCCACACTCTGCAAGTTAACGGTAAGATTAAATCGACTTTTCAAAGCTTTTAACCGTGCTGAAGTTGTTTCCTCTTCTTATTTACCCTCTCAAAGTTGTATTTGGTTGTATTAAAGTTGTATTAAAAATGCTATATTTAGGGTGACCAGATCTTTTTTTTTTTTTTTTTTCACATATATAATATAACAATAATAAAAAGAATACACACTAGATAAAAAAAAAAAAGAAGGTGTTGGAAGAAGAAGCAAAAACCCCAAAAGGGCTTATGTTAAAACCTCCACCTTATGAATACATTAAAAATGGAACATTACAGCTGTGCATTAATTAAAAAAAATACATTAACTCACCTTGGATTAAATTAATTTGATTCAAACATGGACTAAAATACAATGAAACTTCCACAATTATCATGAAATATTTCCTCAAACTCTTCTTAAACAACACCTCTGATATGCTACCACTAATCAGATGTGAAAAGTGGCTCCACAATTTACAGCCTCTGCATCGTAGCAAAACTGAGCTCTACATGTGACACATTTTGGAACGTGAAAATTACGATTTTGACGAGTATTGTATCCATGAATCTCTGCATTGGTTTTAAAGTAAATGTGAAATGTTTGGTGATGTAGTTGTATTGTAAATAATGTCATACATAAAAATACAATTAGATAAATATTCATCTCATAAATATTAAGAATGTTATGTTTGATTAATAAATTCGCAGGTGATGTTAGTGGCATGGAATGAGTTGCAATTCGAACAAAACGTTTTTGCACCAATTATATTTTGTTGAGAAAGTGCTTACCCAGACTATATTACAATATGACAGATAGGGATAAATTAAACTATAGTGTAATGTAAGTATAGATTTTGAGTCTACCCGGGACAGTCCCAGTTTTGAGCCCTGTGTCCCCTGTTCAGGCATATTTGTCCCAGTTTTGTACAAGAAATTTCCCTTATTTGTGTCCTTATTTTTGACCAATTTGATCCCTGCCAACAGTGAAAAGAGTCATCAGTTGTCTTTTGTTTAGCCCAAAAAACAGAAAAAGTGCTTAAAAATTACCAAAACAAAAAGAAAATGTGATTACTGACTCACATGTTAGTCACGAATGGGCCAAACACAGAACTATTTTGTTTAATTATTCACTCCTTTCACAATTTTATTATTAACAACCACCCCAAACCAGGAGTGTCCCAGTTTTTGCCGTAAAAAATCTGGTCACCACTGCCATATTGCCGATCCCACTTTCTCCACCTCTGGTACACACCCATTTCTCTGTTCTTACATTGTTGTTCAATTTTATTTTCTTAATTAATGATATATGTAGGATTTGGCAGCGTCCCATAGTGATTTTGGTACAAATGAAAAAAAAATTAAAAATCTATTACGCCATTACTGTCCATTAAAAGGGTTGACGGCTACATGGCTCTTTGTTGTGATGATGTTTAAGGTGACATCAGCTGGTACTGGTCACCAGTTTTCTAACACAGAAGTCAGAAGAAAAGGACTTGCTTCTTTTATTAATTTGAATATTGCTATTTAAAATGTGCAAATAATGTCATAATTTGCATTTCCACGGGCGTTGTAGATAATAACTGGACAGCAGACAAGCACAATTTCTCTTCTTTAAAGCTATTCCAATGAGTGCACACTATACCAGTTTTGGTTGCCTTTGATTCAGAATGGTTCTTTCAGTATGTTTATACAGAAGATGTCATCACTCAGTGTCTTATGCCACTGTCATGTGGTGTCAGATAAATCATAGGTATGACTTTTCAAGTGGAATTTGCACATGAGCACTGCACCAAGTCATTTGCTAAATTACTCATGTCCCTGATTCAATCAAGTCAATAATGCCCATCTGAACTCAGGAAAATACAACCAGAATCCAGACTAAACATCTTATAGTATAGTTGTTGTTTGTTTGTTTGTTTTTTAATAATAATTGGTCAAATCAAAAACAGGTTCTTCATATTTAACATATATTATTTTTAATACTAGTAATTTTACTGAAGTCATCTAAGTACTTTTTACTGCAAGGTTAAAATTTTCTACTATTTTTACCCCAATCAAAAACATTCTGGTGTGAATCAAGCCTGAAATAAAGCTTCCAAGTTGGCATAAAAACTTTTTTTTTCAGTGATTCTCCCCAAAAATATGAAAATATGAACCTCGATGAAAAAAGTTTGGACACCCCAGTTCTAATGGCTGAGTGTCTCCTGGTAAGAAACTGAAAAGTCAAGACAAGTGGATTATTTTTCCTCTAGTGCTTGTGTGCCCATTTTTATTATTTTTATTCTAAAATCATACCCATCAAAATATTGTACTTAAAAGTCTCAGATTACACCATTTTCAGATCTATGTTATAATGTTGTTTCCTCATCACAAAGGGGTCAGCCTGATGTTCCTTCAGTCTTATGTTCCCTTATTTCTAAGACTTTTCTTTTTTCTAAGATTTTTCTCAAAATTAAACTCTAAGTCAAGTTATTTTTATTTTTATACCACATTTAAAGGGATGATTTAGAGTCATTTCAACCTATGGTCCTTTGCACCATCACCTCTACATTACATCTGTAGTCAACTGTTGCTGGATAATAGGTTGGGAAAACTGACGACCAAATTGGGAGAAATGGGGAGAAATTCTGATGCAAACGGATGATAAAGGAAATGTGGGAACATAGGGTCTAATTTTGGAAAAATTAGAAATGAGGGTACATTCCCATTGCAAACAGACCTGGAGTTGAGTTTTGTTTCTTTCACACATTTAACACACAAACCCTGCATATTTTCAGTTTGAGTTTTTCACTCAAACAGAAAACACTGTGTTCCACCTTGTGACGTCGTGGTAATACAGGAAGTGCTACACTGTGTTTTTAAACTCCATACACCTTCACAAGAATCATTTAGATAATTTAATGACCAAAACATAAGACGTTAACTTGGAAAAACTGCTGCTTGCTGACATCACAAGAGCATTCTGAGCTTTGGAAATGCAGAACGACTAAAACGCAGCATTACTCAAACATGTGAATGAAACAAAACACAAGTCCGGGTATGTTTTTAACGAGGGATCAACATCACATCGCTAAAAAACAAGAAAAACACAATCAGTTTAACGTAATATTGGACCTTTAACTTTTTCGCTGAGCCAATCCAATCCACCTCTCCGCTCTGCACGCTGAGTGAAAAGTCAGTCGCGAGCTGGCTTGTGCCTGGCTGTAACCGGAGGCGCGTCCTTGTGAGTGACATTGGCTGTTGTCACGGTGGCGCGCTTACACAGATGGAGCCCTGTGATTGTTAATCTGCCTGCAGTCATGCTCTTGTTGTGGGGCCCATCCACACACTCTCTGTCAATAGTGGCAGACATTTGTTTAAACAGACGAGATAAAGAGCCAGTTTAAAGTATTGTTCCAGAATCTGTGCCTTTAGCTTGCCACTTGTTTGATAGAGATATTTGTAAAGAGTGGTGAGAGATGTTATAATCGGCGTGAGCTGTGCCAGAACATGAGTGGAGTCTTATTGTCTTAACACGCTGTTTTTTTGTCGTACACTTGCGTTAGCTGGGACCTATCCAGACAGGCTTAATCACTTACTGTCAGAATTACTGGTGATTAAGATGGGGCATTAAAGGAGACATATTACAGTATGTACAGCTGACTTTAACATAAGAGCTTTTAATAATGTTATGACTGCAGTGGTGGATAAAGTAAAAGTAGATACAAAGGTAAAAAGTGACTCAAGTAAAAGTAAAAGTCCAATGAGGTTAATTTGGTCTTCTGATAATTTGAGGTATTAGGTTCTTTTTTCAGACCATGAGTTTGTTTTCATACCTGACAGTTTCATCTTCCTCAGAGTGGTCATGTGATGTTGCTGTGACTTAAAAGAGGCAATTTGAATACAGAAACATGCCCATGGGACTATAAACCGGGACGAGGGAGCTTTTTTACTCTCACCCACCTGGGATACTGTCCTGAGGAAGTCGGACTGCAGATGATGCTGTCGTCCTGCCTCCACCGGTAGGAAGACTGCGTTAAAACCTGTTTAAATCAGCTGACTGGACAGATCGCAGCAACATCACTTGACCACTCTGAGGAAGATCGCTAGTAAGCAGTCGAAACGGTCAGGTATGAAAAACCTATTAACATGAAAGTAAAAGTATCACATTCAAAATCTACTTAAGTAAAAGTGATTTAAAAATGTACTTCAAGAGAAAAAGTTAAAGTATTTTGCAGAGATTTTTAGAACAGTTAAGGGATGAAATGCAGTGATTCTGAAAAGTAATTTAGCAGAATTTGATTCAATTGATTTCTTCATTTTTCTAGTCACTTTTGTGTATTTTGGTTTGCTCAAAGTTGTGATGACACAAATAAAGTGTCTGCCATTTCAGCAAGTCTCAAACCATAAAGAAAAGTACTTTATATTTTCCCGTCCACATCGAAAATGCAGTGGAGTAGAAAGTACAGATACACGTTCTCAAATGTAGTGAAGTAAGAGTAAAACGTATCTATTGTAAAATTTAAGATACCTAAAATTTGTACTTAAGTATTGTACTTTTGTTACCTTTCACCACTGTATAACTGTTTTCCCTTCTTATTATTCTCCTGCATTCAAGACACCATCGCTCCGGTCCACCCCGTTTACTATTGTAGCCACAGCTGCCCTGAGGCAGACTGACAGAAGCAAGGCTGCCTACAAGCACCTCAAACAATCACACAACAGTGTTTTTGCCACTCACGTCCCAGTGTGGCATCTGGTTTTCCCAGCGGTCTCCCAGTCAAGTATTAACCAGGCCCAGGCTTAGGGTCTGAGATTTGACAAAATCAGGCTTTGATAAGTATATTGAATCAATTATAAGTGACTAGACCCCTAGAACTCACTGTAATACAACAGACGTCTGCATCAGTTTTGCCTGCCCACATGTATTAAATGTTATTGGACTATAGAATATTGACATCATCTAAACCCAGCAATTGTATGTACACTATATTCAAAGACAAGAGTCCCATATGCATTGCCTTTT